TGGAGAGAGAACGAGAGATTAAAGCAATAACAAATGGAGGTAAAGTGATTTCTTTAGAAGGCACAATAGCAAGTGGATTTTGCTATTCAGCGAATTTGAGGTCTTCATTATTCTGTATCTAGCGGTCAAAATTCATTTGGCCAGAGCTTCAGATCTCATCTTCAATCTCTTTGCCTTTTTTGGTGATGTTAGTGGAGGAGAGGTTGATGTCGGGGTTGACGCTTGACGGGATGGAAGGCAAAGGGCTAAAGGGTTGGTGAAGACACTCGACTGAATGGAAAGCAGAGAGAGAGAGAGAGACATGGAAGAGAAGATGGGGGCATTTTAATTTGAAAATAATTAATTATAAGATTAACTTTGGTGGGATTGAGCAATACCAGGAGAGATGGTGAGTTTCAATATTCCCACCTAGGTGGGATTAAACAATCTCAAGTATTGGTGAATGTCTCACACTAAATATATAAAAAGTGAGATTACTTTAACCTAATCGTAATCTCATCCTTCCAATATTGCACACCAAACAGGGCCTAAAAGGTGAGGAAGCTATAGACATATACTTTTTTTTTTGTGTGTGTGTAAAAGTGGGCCAAGGCCCTATATCATTCTGTTGGCAGAATTTTATTGTGTGAACAACACCTAATTTGTCGTTATATAGCAAATCTATCAGACCACTAGGAGGGTCAACAAAATAAATAGTCTCAAATTTAAAAGAAAAATTGTGCTTAGCAAGCTAACCAACACGCTGGTTGCCCCTACAGACATCCACACTTTTAACGTTAATAACAAATAATAATTTATTGGTGTAATTTTTTCAAATAGGAAAAACCCATACTTAAACCCAAAAAAAAAATTATGGCTAGAAGAAAAGAAAATAGGGGATTTCTAGATGGATTGTCTTAACATGCAAGATATTACAATCATATCTTGAATTCAGTGGTCAAGCTGGATGTTGTATCACCAACTTTTATTTTGAACAGTTGCTTTTATTAAAGATTAAGAGACAATCCCATTGTCATATCTAAAACCGAGCCTTGAATTTTCCTCACTTAAAAACATGGCAACAATAATCAATTATAAATATAATATAATATAAATATAAGCTCTAGTGTCATTAATGAGTCATAAATAATGAAATTTATCTTATATTTTTGAGACCTAGTATGCTATATTTATACAAATAACAATCTACATGAAACTATATGCAAATTTATATGTTGGCAAAAAAAGGATGTCTAATAATATAAACTCTCTGCAGAAAATGACTTTGGGCCTCCTTGATGCTATTCTGTGTCTTGGGTTGTAATTTAACGATAAAAGTTGGCTCAGAATGGTTTTCCCTGTTCCTCGATCCACGGGCTTGGGTTCTTGAAGGGCTGCTCCATCAAAAGTTCAGAAAACATCGGCGGACACGCACAGTGATGCATTCTGGAAATGAATGAAAATCCTGAGCCATTGCGAGACAGGACGCCAGAGACACCATCACGAGGTCTGCCTAGCATGTAAATGAATGAAAATGAGAAAATCTCACAGCGCAAGCTTTTAAGCATAAAGCATAATGTACTCAACAACTTACGCATATATAAAATAAATATATTAGTGCATTTTGTGTTTTGATTTTATTACAAGTATTCGATATCTCGTGACACTTTAATTTTCTCGTCTACAATAGAAAAGAACGGTCAAGAGGACATGGCAGAATAGTTGTTCAAAATGCTCGGTTTAATTGGCTCAAAGAATTAAGCTAGCTTATCATGGACGTCGAGTTTAAGTTTTAAAATATACAATCACACTAAATAAATAATTTCTCCAATCTAAAATCTAAGCAGTTTTTAACCGTATATTAATAAAGTTTTCATTCTTATAAAAATATATGCTATTTCCCCTTTTACCCCCAATTTCAATCACCGATGCATTCCATGATAAATAAGAAATACATTGATAGAAAAATTCAAATTAATAAACACAAGGAGTAAAATGGGGAACAAATATTTTACCTATATTATATTGCTTATATTTTAAACCAAGATTATTACAGAAAATTGTTATATTTTGGACCAAAGGGAGTATGCCAAAAGCATCACGAGGATACATGAGAATATGTCACCGTTGGTCATAGCAATCCCACACAAATAGCGGTTCGAGTTAGTCAAGACGAGAAGTGGTAATATCTCTTAAGTTTTTCAAGATATTGAGCAATGAAATTAAAAAAAAACACTAAAGAAAAAACACACTTGTCATTCCCATGCTCTTATTGTAGAACTATGTAGGTGGCTTGATCCTGCCTGAGTCAATCGAGTTGATGGAGCCGAGCTTCAAATCGAGTATTTGGTTGGGGTCAATCCTAGCCTTGCCTTGCTCACTCCAAAACTATTTATATATTTTATTTTTTTAGAAAAACTTAATTATTTTATAGTGTTCTTTTAGTTAATATTTTTTTATGTATTATACAATTTTTTAATCTTTTTAAATATTTGAACTTATTTTTTTTACTTTATATCATTTAAAAATAATGAATAATTCTTAATTATATAAACAATAACAAAAAGCTTTATCTCACCATCTCACTAGGTGAGGTCAGCTATATAAATTGAACGATGTTATTTTGTCCTATCATTTATTAAACTTTTAAAAATGTTGACCAATAAGTCTATGTTAATAATTTTTAAAAGTGTTCTCTTTGGCCTTCATCTAACCTTTTAATAGGGCTCAAAATTATCCATTCAACTTTTCTTATTGGTGCCTCTCACAATCTTCTTTGTATATATCCAAACCATTTCACTTGATTTTCTAGCATTTTCCTTTCAATAAGTGATTAGGTGTTATGCCATTTTTTTCTCTCATATATGTTCATTTTAAATTTTATCTTTACATGTATATCTACACATCTATCTCAACATTGTCATCTCTGCTAATCTAACTTTATGTTTTTGTTGTCCTGTTAAAACATAACATTTATTATCATATAACATAACTGGTCTTATAATAGTTTAATAAAAAATTTTTTAAATTTATTAGGTACCTTATAATTGTAAATAATTCCTTTAACTTTTCTTCAATTAAACTACCCAACTTATATTATATGTGTAATATTCCCATCAATTTCCCTATCATATAAATAATAGCTTCTAAATATCTAAACTTTTTTCACTTAAAATATAATTTGATTTTCTAATTTTACTTCCAAATTACTACTAACCAACCTTTTATCAAAATTACAATATAAATAAATATTTCATCTTACTCCTACTCAAGCAGAAGCATTTTGACTAGAATAGCCTCCTCCATCACTTAAATTTACAGTTAATCTCTTTTCTTATCTCCGCAATAATAACTATATGATCCACAAAAAAAAGCATGCATTTAAAAATTTTCTCTTAAATATACTCAATCAAAACATTTAGGATTTGGTCAAACAAATAAGGACTCAAAAATTATCTCTGATGTAGTCTAATTCTTAAAAAAAAGTCATTTATTTCACTGCCAGACATTTTTATATTTGTTGTTGCCTCCTCATATATGTCTTGTATTGCTCTAATATCAGCAACTTGAACTCTCTTTTTTCAAGCCTTTCTAAAGTATATTTTTTCAGTAATTCCCTTAGTAGATAAAATGTTTCTGCAGTCACCCTACTTGGCATGAAGTCAAACTAATTCTCAAAAACACTAGTTTCCAATCTCAACCTCTATTCAATTACTCTTTCTCACAATTTCATTACATGACTCATAAATTTAATTCCTTTGTAGCTAGCATAATTCTAAATATTCCTTTTATTTTTGTAAATATAAACTAATGTGCTCCTCCTCCAATTATTATCCATTTTCTTGGACTGTAAAATTTTATTAAATAGCTTAGTTAACCATCATACCTCTTCTTCACCTAAACATTTTCGCACTTTAATAAAGATACAATTAGGTCTATTAGCTTTATCACTTACCATTTTTTTAAGAACTTCCCTTATCTCAATATTGTGTATCTTACAATATAATGGCAAATTTTATTCTTCTTTATGAATTACTAAATGCTTTGAGTTACTAAACAAACCCCTTCTATCATTGAATATTTTGGAAAAGTAAACCCCTCATCTATTTTTAATATCATCATTTGAGATGAAAACTCTTCCCTCTTCATCTTTTATGCATATTTAAAAAATTATTACTTTAAATTCTAACATTATTTTCATCAAAAATCCAATTTAATTAATTATAATTATATTCTGGTTAATAACTTTATTTTTGCATTTTAAAGTTTTTAAAATAATTTTAAGCATCGAGGCAAAACCCATTCCAACCGTTCGACCAACCCAAATATGGTCATCAAGTTGGGCATAAAGCTAGGATGAAGTCCAACCCGACATAGCCTATGAGCACCCCTACTAGCTTATTGGTATCAATACAGAACTAAATATTCAAAAAAACCCAACAATTTCTTTTTATTCTTTTGCTATTAGCATGCACTTCTATTAGGCTTCGAACAATTTTACTTTTAATTTATCAATAATTTTATATTTTAAATAAAAATAAACTATAATTTCTCGAGGAAAAATATCTAATTCAGAATAAGCACACGTGGTTGCAGGAGTGCGGTGAAATCCCGGCATCACTAATGGCATGCCGAGCAGATTATCTGCCCCATTAACATTTAAAATCCTCTGGACTCTCGAGTGGTTTCGTTCTCTTCTTCCTGATATTTTCATCAGCAGGCAACTCCCCAAGAATCCGGGCCATCGTGGAATGCAAAGTGCAAACACTTTCAGATCTGGGTACATCATCAACGTCGTCGTCGCTATCATTAAAAATAATTATTATTGTGGGCACATTAAATACCAGCTTTTTTTCACAATCCCATCTGTTGCCTAGTTCCTTAGGCGCGACTCAGAGCCCAGACCATTCAAAAGTAAACAACCTCATTATTATACACCAAATAGCAGAGTAAATCAATAACGAACTTCTTGTCATACACCAAATAGCAGAAGTCTGCTCGTGCATGTGTTAGCAGGCGTGTAGAAGAAAAAGGTTAGATTATGCACTCAAAAGTTGATAGTGGATCGCAATCAACCTGGTTAAACTACTCTCATATATTTCTTTTCTTTAGGCAAATAAATCAAACACAATGGGACATTTTCCTGTCGTCCGAACAGCCCATCAACCAATCATATAATTAATGAGAAGAATACGACCTCCATACGTAAATTTTCATCTTTTATGCATGAGTTGCCGCGGGCTTGAAACAATGAATGTTGCACAATCGAACGGATCTCACCATGTCCCCGAAGCTGCCACCAAAACACAGAAAACAGTCAAGGAAAAACACAAGGAGCGGTACAAGCGCAATCGCACCATAGAACATGCTTTATAACTGACCGGTCTATGCTATTTCTAGCTTTCTCGTGCTGATCCATTCCATTGTTTGCCTTCTCAGGGCGATCTACACTCTTTCTTGATTTGTCTCTCTTATCTGTGCTAGCTCTTGGCCTCTCTTTGCAGTCAATGCTTGGCCTAGGCTTTTCTCTATGATCAGTACTCCGTAAAAGATTTTCCCTTTGATCCATGCTGGCTCTGGGTTTTTCTCTAAAGTCTGTGCTATTTCGGGATTTGTCCAGTTGATCAGGATTGAGTCCAGGTCCACTTCTTTGACGTGGAGACTTCTCAATGGCAGCAATAAATTTCTTGAGGTGCTTTATATATTGGGGGTAAAGCTCAAGGTCGCAGTGATTTCCTCCTTTAATCCACAGGGGCTCATATTTTTCTTTACAACGTTCCCAAAGTTGTTTGCCATGGGAGCAATCAACTACGTCATCTGCAGTTCCCTGAAACATACAAGCCAATGCCAAGAACCATCCAGACAAATAAGTTTCAATTCAAACACACCCCTCATCGCATATATATGTATATATATATATATATATTTTGGGCAACCCTCATTGCATCATTGTTACATGTGCATTTAACAACGAACTGTTACAAGCTTTCTGATATATTCCCTGATAGCAAGTTTGTTTAACAGGGGCAAATGCTGATTTCATGACAAGTAAATGCCCATTTAAATGCACTGAGAGAGTCACTGCTCATCAGTAAAACATGTACCTAGGCACAGTTTTTCTTCGTCTTCTAGTGCAAACAACTTATCACATCATTTGAAAACTATAATATTTGGTAATTATAAGTTGTAACTGACAAAAATTGTAGGGTGAATAAAAAACACAAAAAATAGCTGCAGGGCAATAACGACATCATTAGGTATAGTATTTCCCACAGATGGCATTTAAGCTTCCACAGCATTACAGCAATGGTCATCAGTACAATCCTAATATTTGCCAGGTAATATATCCAATACATGGTTTTCGTTATCCAGCTAACAAAAGTGAAATGAACATTAAAAAAATAAAAATAAATAAATTTACAAAAATGTCATATGCTCTAGGCAGCAAATGCAGATTTCTCTAAGCATAACCAGTTACAGAGATTTATCAAACCAACGGTGAAGATAAAGCAAGGCCAAGGGATTTTACTGCCTCGAGTACATGACATTTTTTACTACTGTTTCAAAATCATTCAGCACAGTGATACAAGTTTGGAAGAAACATGAAATAGTCCAGAAAACAGTTGCCAAAGGATTTTACTAGTGTTTTTTTTTAAATCAATCTTTGATAAAATATGTGTGGCTTCTCCTTCCATTTGATTTTTTATTGGTGTAAGTGTTGTAAGGCTCTTTATCTATATGATATTTACAAACAGAAAAGACAATTTCATATCCATAGGGACATGCAAGAGAGGCAATGAATATTGCATTAACTTCAGAAATTTTAGGTGAATTTATCTAGTCGCAAAGAATTACTTAAGAGGAAACAACACAATTTGGCACATAAATGAGGTCATAATTTACTAATCCACAATTGATGCATAAAGACACTTCCAATGTTTGGACAGTGCAAACAGCAACCTCGGATGAGCATCAGCAATGACAATGATAAAAGATATCCAAACACAACAATTACGAACCAGATTCATAACCGGGATGCCTAAAAATACTTGACAGCCGCCAGAAACAAAAAATATATACTCACATGAATTACCAGAACAGGACAATTGACAGAGGGGATTTTATCAATATTCTGCACCAAAAGCAGCAAATCAACATTAAAATGGAGTTACAGCTAAAACTAAGAACTACTGATAAAAAATGAACGGCGTTACTGAGATTCTTAAGTTCAATGTTGAAAGAAGTCATACCTTATAAATGTCAAACCAGTATGTCCGCTTCACAGGATACATAACTCGGAGGCCAGATAAGATTGGGCTATGGAGAATTACAGCCCTAAGGTTTGGTAAACCGGTAGCCAAATCTGTAGTAGGTCCACTGCCAACAGATTGCCCATACAGGATAATATCTTCTTCTTTTGCTCCATACTTATCCAACAGGCATTTATAAGCAGCTTCTATATCTGCATAAGTGTTCTGCTCACTTGGCTGTTTGAAAAAATAGCGCACTGTTAAACTCGCCAGAAATAATGATCTGTGTTCCTCAACTTATATTTCGGAAAAGTATAATCAGAACAAAAATTGAGCATCATCTTAAACTTTTAAACAAGAGGCTGCAGGGTGCAGATGGGCAAAGCGATGCCTGTCCATGCGTCGGAGTTAAATCACATTAAGTATGCCAAGTTCAAATGTTAAATCTCTCGTCGATAAGTATAAAACTTCCCAAATGTGTAAATCACAAAATAATGATCCTGCTAAGCAATGTAGAGGGGGGAAACTTGGTATTTTATAATGTCCTAAACATTTCATCATCCAAACGTCCAGCTAGCAGAGGAAGCGTACCTTCCCTGAGGACTGTCCATACCCAGAATAGTCATAGCTACAGGAGAAAAGGGAAATCCGATCATTCATAGGTCGCCATCATACTACAGTTGCGCATGCATATAAGAACTCATGCATCTATAGTTCCACGCAAAGTTGAGAGCATGCATAACGGACAACACAAAAGGCTAAAACGTTGAACTGACCCCATCAGGTTGACTCGTAGGTGGACACTGAGTTCACTGAACAACTCGTACATCTGACCCAGATCAGCTGCGTTTCCGTGCGAGTAAAGCATCGTGAGCGACGCCGATGGGTTCTTGATGTACATCGCCACGATGTTGTTCCCCCTCTTAGTGCAAAGCTTCAACACGTCTACGTTCTCCCTCAAGGCCACCCCAGTCATCGTCTGATTCCCGGTCACCTCATCAACTCCGAGAGAATACGACGGCGGATTCGGCGGGAAGAATGCGAACTTCGCCGCCATCGACGACGTCACCGCCCCCATACCTCTTGACAAAATATATATATATATATAGCAGAGCAAACCAACACTAGTTTTCAATTTCCAGTGAACTAGGTCACACACACGGCAGGAAAAGAGGAAATGGAAAATAAAATTAAAAATCATGTAAGTTAAGATTTTGTGATCCGAACGAAAATAAAAACTTAAAGTCGGATTGAACACATACATAAGCTGGGGAAGTGGGGTAGGAAGGGGGAAATTTCTAGGGTTCAGATTAGTCTGGCAGATTGAGTAGGGAGGGGTGGGGTTGGAGAAGACGACTACAGAGGGAGGCGTTTCCGGCGTGGAAAGGGAAGGGAGCACGTGTGAAATCGCTTGGACCAGCAATTAGGTGATGGCGATGTTTATGATGTGAACAGTGACAGTTGTTCATTTCACCGACACGTGTCCCTTCGGGGTGGCTTCTCTTCACTGTGCCTACTGTCTGCCTCTCCAAAGCGCCAGCTGCGACCCAAATCCCAATTCTACCATTGCTCAAACAACTTGCCCTCAAACGGTTTTGAAATTTCGGATTAAAATAAGCATGGTGTACTTTGTTCTGAAAAAAAATAAATGCTAATGCGTTTTTTTAAAACTATTTAGGTTAAAATTTTAATTATCTTTATTATATTATTTATAAATAAAAAACATTGAAGATGCGGAAAGTATTAGTTTATCATTATTTATAAATTTCAACCACTGTCACGTTAAATCAAAATGAAGTTTGCGTGAGGCGATTTCAGGTAACACACGGTCCTGCGTTTTTAGATATAGTATGATATGATTAAGGCTTGGGAAACATGGACAGTGACCCTCGTTCCCATGATACATTGGAGACTTCGGATAAGGACAGAATGGTCAATGAATCTCAAAATTAAGGGGGGATTGGTCACAGAATTTTTGTATTTTGTTCACTGGTTAATTTACATCCCAGTGAGAGGAAGCCACGTTCCACGACGGGAAGTAATGATTTATTAGAGAAAATCAAACCTTTGATTTATGCCCGCATTCAATCTCACTTTTGTCACATAAACTAGTCATGGCTTAAAAAATAATTTGTACTATTTATTATGTGCGAATAATAAGACTATGGTAAATTATATTTCACACGCGCGAATAGATGCACAACGGCATCTTGGTTATAATCATTATCACTGTTATTTCCAGGGGCGTATATGGATATGGAGTCATACTACTCACGAACCACAAATGATTGATTTGTCTGGAGTTCTGTAGAAACACATGAGATCTAGTACACATCAATCATCGGTATATTATATTATTACACACTCCTTATTTATAAATTCACTTTATTCATAAACTGTGAATAATAATCCTTCTATTTTAAATTATAAAATATTTTTAAACAAAATCTTACATATCAATAAATTTACTTAAATATATTAAGTAATTTTGTTTTTTCAAAATAAAATACTTTTTATTTAATATATTAAAAAAAAAATAAATAGAGACAAAAGTTAAAGATAGGGTAGTGTTGGAATAAGATATTTTTGAATAAAATCTCACACACTAATGATATAATTAAATACACTTAATAACTTTATTTTTTTAAAAATAAAAATATAAATTTTTAAAAATATTCTTTATTTAATATAATGAAGAGAGATAGGGACAATGATTAAATAGAAAGAGGTAGCATTGGACAAAGACATTTTTAGATAAAATTTCACATATCAATAAATTATATAAAATACATTTAACAACCTTATTTTTTTAAAATAAAAATATAAAATTTTAAAAATACATTTCATTTAATATATTGAAAAAAAATAGGGACAAAAATTAAATAAAAAGAGAGTAGTATTGCAATAAGTCTATTTAATGAAACTTTAATATGCTCAAAATATCTTATAATTTGAGATAAAGGAGTATCACTTTTTATAACTATAACATGCTTGCTCTATTGTTTTTATTTGTGGGAGTTCATTTGCATAACATTTGTTCTCCAACACTGCTTTTGTTGATTTCTACCATGAGAGGGGCAATTGATGTGGGTGAGCATGTGATTGGTTTTTCATCTCTTTATGCCAGGGTGTCTTGTTTTCTCCTTCGACCTAAATTGCTAAGAAGGGAATGGGGATTCAACTAGCGTCGACAAGGCAAAGATTGTCCATCAAAAGGATTGAAGATTTATTCAATGGTTAATCGTGGGTTTTGACTTCTTGTAGGCAAAAAGGTATGAGGTTTTTTAAGTATGAATCTTGATGATTTTGGTTTGTTGTTAAGGGTCTCATCCTAGGCTTCTTAGTTCGATAGGCAATAGTTTGCAACAAAGATGGGGGTGCATTTTTGCAATGCTAGTAGCTAGTTTGTTGTCATTGCTAATGATTTTGGTTCTCTCTACATGGAATTTGATGCATGAAGGTGGTGAATGTGCTATTTGGATATCAGTTATTGTTCACAGAGGGACAGGATTGTTAGAATGATTCTATAAACCTCATCCTTACTTTTCAATGTGACTTCTATTCTTTTTGAGTTTTCATGGTAGCGATGGCATTTCTTGTTTTCTAGTTCTGTTTTAAAGCTTAAGATAGTGATGATGGTGTCATTTATTTTTTTTCTTTGTGTTGTTTTGCATTTGATTTATAATTTTTTGTTGTGTTGTTTTTGATCTTATTTGTATTTTGTTTGTTGAATAGTATTTGTTTTTGTCAACCTTACAGTTGTCAGTAATATTTCATGTTTTCAAGGGTGAAAATGCTTACTCTGTATTGTTCTACATCCTACAATTCACTTTAATCATAAATGCTTGAACGTTTACAAGTTATATTTTTTAAACATTTCATAGGATAAGCTGGAATAGGTTGCATGTGCCAAGCAGGACTTTGAGGCCACAATCCAATTCCAAGCATGTGTGAGTAGATCCAAAAGAACAAAACCTAAAAGATATAATTAGCTAGGCATTTAGAGTATTAATTATTAGTTTGACAGAAAACATATAAACAAGTCTTCCTAGGCTAAGAATGTGTCCTTTATGTAGATCCTAAAAACTCAGAATAAAAAAAAAGGAATTAGCCCCGTTAGGTTTTGATGAAGTTTTAGACGAGAAGGTCTACGATGAACTTGTATTGATGGAAATTGGAATTGTACAGGCCACTAAAGTCCAACCCTAACCATAAAGGTTCTTTAAACTAATCATTCTTTAATAATACTACCATTACTAATATTAATGATGCGAGCTTGTTAGTCCTTTTCATTTTCGACCATGGGCTTGTCGGTCCTTAAATACAAGTTTATAGTTAACATATGAGCAGGTTCTCGGTCTACAATGTTGTCTAGGTGTCCATGAAAGAACCGACAGATACTTGCCATGCTGAAATCAGGGTAGAGTTTGGTCCCGAACTTTACTTTGCTAGTGTTGTTGCTCAGTTAATGAATATTACACATGACTTTTATAAATATTGCATTTAAATTAAAGGGTTAGTGATTATTTTTATCCTTAAACTGTAAACAAAACAAAACTCAACTATAGGTTAATTCTATCTCTCAATTAAAAATTCCTTCCTCATCACCCTGATGTTAAAAAGATTTAATGTCTGTTAGTCATCAATGGATCTCACTATTTTTTAAATATTTTTATCAAGTTAAGGGTCGTTTTTGCCACTCAACTCAAATATTTTATAATAAAAAATATACTGTAAGGCCCACTAACGGTCAACTTATGATGAAAAACAATAGGGTGATAAAGAAGAAAATCTTTAAAGTTGAAAGTTAAAATTAAACCATAATTGACTTTAGGGCGTTTATGGTTTTTGTGTTCAATTCAAGAATAAAATTGACCCTTAACCGTAAATTAAATTAAAAGGGGGTTAAGGGATAAAAATGTTTTGAAAATTTTCTAAAATACTAGATATTTTTACTTTTTAGATGGAATAAAGAGAACAATTTTATCAAGTTGTTAGTGCAATCGTTACTTTGATTTTTATTTTCTTGGCAGCCACATGATTTTTTAAAAAAAAAAACAAATACAAATTCAAGTGTTCGCCATAACTTGATTTGATCTAATCTAACTTCCTCAATAATGCTTCCCATCTTTGTCCTTTCTAAGCGTTGGTGAGAGAGTGCAAAGCTTGATTTTCTCTGTGTCATTTTGAATTATCTCCTTTAAATTGTTGGTCATGCTATTGCCATTGCTATAATGCAAAAAATATTTTATGACATTTAGTAGTGGGAACCTAAGGCCCTATTTGATATAAAGGAATAGTGGGACCTAATTTAATATATTTGGTATGAATAATTGAGGCTAGCATGGTATTTCTTAGTACCACTTAGATGGGATTGTTCAAACCCTCCTTCCTTAGGTATTGAGAAACCTGTCATGGGATTGGAAAACTGTGAGACAAAACTATCTTTGTTCATAATAATTTTTGACAAAAGTGCCCTTGTGAATTTTGTCAATGTCCATCGCAATACTAGTAGAACACTCATTCCCATTACTGGCCAAGTCCTCACTCCATCAATCTCCACCAGTCCATCAATCTACATCATCGATGAAGCCTTCACTATGTTGATCTCCACCATTTCGTTGATCTCCATTGCAGGTAAAGCCTCACTCCATTGATTTCCTCTAGTTTTTTACTTAGCTTGGACGAGAAAATTGGCATTGATAACACTCATTTTGTTTGTTTTCTCCCTTTATTTTATGGGTTTTATACATTATTTTTATCCACTTTCTGTGAATTAAGGGGAAGTTAGATAGTTGTACAAAATTTTAAGAGTGGTGGACCATATAACCATTATTTTTTGTTTTTGTTTCGAAAGAAATTGAGCATCACCTTATGTAAAACCTCCATTTAAACACATAATTAGCCCACACTTGACCTTAAAATAGAACTATCATAGTAATTACAACTAATTTAATCAATAATAAAAGATATCATGACATAAAAGGATCAACTTTAGCTGTTTAAAGACTCATAAGGTTAAGTAAGCTAACCTTGTAAAGATAAAATCTTATAAATCATTTAACCTCAAAACTAAGTTGAAAATGTGATTTAACCATTATAAATCAAAGTAAAAAGTATTTGAGAAGTATGAAAACTATTTAGAGTTGAAAAGAAGATCAAAATGGTCATTTTTGCTTAACAGAGGCACTTAGCAGCGGGTAGTGTGACATCCTAAGTTTCCCTATTAATCATTATCAGTATTTTTAAAGGTAGTTTGGTTAATTTAGATAAATTATTAATTTAGTAAGGGTTACGGGAGACTGATATGGTTTTTGAATTCTTGAATAGCCTTAAAAGAAGGCTAGGTTGATGTTTAAGCGAGCCATGGCATAGAAGGAAGTTTAAAATTTTATGGGATGTTTTGTGCCATAC